CCATTCAAATTCTAGTATAGTCGAGTCAAACTTAGTATAATGGAGTCAAATTCTAGCATAATTGAGTCAAATTCTAGTATAGTCGAGTCAAACTTAGTATAATCGAGTCAAATTCTAGTATAGTCGAGTCAAACATAGTATAATCGAGTCAAATTCTAGTATAGTCAAGTCAAACTTAGTATAATCGAGTCAAATTCTAGTATAATTGAGTCAAATTTTAGTATAGTCGTGTCAAACTTAGTATAATCGAGTCAAATTCTATTATAGTCGAGTCAAACTTAGTATAATCGAGTCAAATTATAGTATAATCGATTCAAATTCTAATATGATCAATTCAATTCTACGTATTCGTTTTACCAAGAAACGTATTCATTTTACAAAGGAACATATTAATTTTACCAAGAAATCAGATGTTCATAATCGAGTCAAATACTGTGTAATATGTTCATCTTACTATATAACATTATGTAGCATGTTCATCTTATTTTGTAACATGTTCACCTTATTGTGTAAATATGTAACATTGTTCATCTCATTATGTTACATGTTCATCTTATTTTATAATATGTTCATCTAAATTTCATCTTTAAAATGCAACATTCTCATTTTGTAACATGTCCATCTTATTTTATAACATGTTCACCTTATTTTGTAAATATGTAACATTTTCATTTTATTCTATAACATATTCATCTTACTATATAACATATTTATCTTACTATGTAACATGTTCATCTCATTATGTAACATGTTCATCTTATTTTATAACATGTTCATCTCATTTTGTAACATATCCATCTTATTTTGTAACATGTTCGTCTTACTGTGTAAATATGTAACATGTTCATCTTACTATATAATATGTTCATCTTACTCATTTTGTAACATATCCATCTTATTTTATAACATGTTCACCTTATTTTGTATCTCATTTTGTAACATGTTCACCTTATTGTGTAAATATGTAACATGTTCATCTTATTTTTTTTTATTTTTTTTTTTATTTTTTTTATACATGTTTTTCTTATTTTATAACATGCTCATTTCATTATGTAACATATCCATCTTATTTTTTTACAACATGTTCACCTTATTTTGTAAATATGTAATATTTTGATCTTATTCTATAACATGTTCATCTTATTATATAACATGTTCATCTTACTATGTAACATGTTCATCTTATTATAGATTTGCGTCATCATCTTCTAATAACATAAATTAATTATAAAAAAATAATAAATTAATTGTATTCTAAAATCTATCAAATGTGGTCTCTATTTGTAGGGAATAAAAAATTATGAATTTTGATATTTTTATTTTTATTTTTTAATATAAAATATAGTTGATAATTTAGTTTATTTAATATGATATATAAAATTCATTAACCTCTAAAAATAAGACACGTGTCTCATTTAAATAATACTTACCTTATCTCACTTACTTTGTCCCACGGGCTTTTTGAGAGAGCTGTAATTCACACATGCCTTGTCACATCTAGGCACATAAGTATTTGCGCTGGGATAGTGGGTATGTTATTTCAGTATTACCCATCCTACATCTTCTTTAGGGTAAATTGCGCCAAACCCCCCTGTATTATACGAAATCTGCGCGTTTTCCCCCTGTATTTTAAAAATTGCGCCATACCCCCTTGTAATATACTTTTACATGCGCGAAACCCCCTAAACCGTCAAAAATGACGGCAGTGGTTTGCACGCGCGTGCTGTGCGATTTTTTCTTCATTTTTTCACCCTAAAGTGCCTGAAATTACTGCTTTACCCCTAAAGTAATAAATGTTACATGTAATATATATAACATTACTGCTTTATATATAATAGTATAAAATTCTTGTTTTAGTACATTACTGCTTTATATATAATAGTATAAAATATATAATAACTGTTACATGTAATATATATAATATTATATTATTTATAATATTATATAATATATATATAATATATATATAATATTATATATATATTATAATATCTGTTATATATATATATATTGTATATAATATAAATAATATATATATATTACGATTATTATATATATTTATTTTATAATATAATATATATTTATAATATAATATATATATTACGGTTATTATATATATATATAATATATAATATATTATAGTTTGTAATATATATAATATTATATTATGTATAATATATATAAATATATTATATAATATTATAAATAATATATAATATATAAATAATAATTGTTACATATAATATATAAATAATATATATATATTACGATTATTATATATATATATTTTATATTTATATATAAAATATATTTTATATTACGATTAATATATATGTAATATATATTACGATTAAAATACGTATAATATAATATAATATATATTTTATATTTATATATAAAATATATTTTATAATAACTGTTACATATAATATTTTATATTTTATATTATATTACGTATATTTTATATTACGATAATATATAAATAATATATAAAATATATATTATATTTTATATATTTATATATAAATAATATAAAATATATTTATATATAAAATAATTACTGTTACATAAAATAATATATATATTACGATTAATATATATATGTTACGTATAATATATAAATAATATATTTATTATATTTATAATATAATATATATATGTTACATATAATAATAAATAATATATTTATTATATTTATAATATAATATATATATTACGATTATTATATATATATATTTTATATTATATATATAATATATAATATATTATATATAAAATTTATAATAACTGTTACATATAATATATAAATAATATTATATTATATATAATATTATATAAAATTTTTGGATGGCATAATCGTAAATTCTTGGATGGCATAATCGTAAATTCTTGGATGGCATAATCGTAAATTCTTGGATAAAGGAATTTTATAATGATAAATTGAACAAAAAGTAACGCCGTCAGGAGGATTTGTAACGGCGTTAACGTAGCAGGGAGAGTGTGCATGCAAAAGTATATTACAAGGGGGTATGACGCAATTTTTAAAATACAGGGGGAAAACGCGCAGATTTCGTATATTACAGGGGGGTTTGGTGCAATTTACCCTATTTTTTAAAGGGGAAATTCTACTAGAAGGCCTAACTTTTAGTAATTGTATTAATTTAGGGCCTGATTTTTTTACTTTTTCAATAGAAGACTTACATTTTAGGTTATTCTTACT